TATATATCAGTTTTACCACAAAATGTTGAGCTGTCTCTAATGTTTACAGGCCCCCCACCTCCATCTTGAGGCTGGTGCTGCTCCAGGGCTGAGTACTTCCAGTATGTAAATGAAATACCTCATTTCCTGCATTTCAACTATTTCTTCAAAGGCAAACCTCTCTAATTTTAAACAACTAGTGGGGAATGTGGCACACAGAGCTTTCTTAAACACAGAGTGACAGCTTGCATGACCTCCAGTGAGACGAAAGTAGCTTTGACAAATCTCATTTGTCTGTACTTTCCTTGGGGCTGAGAGTGAAGACAGTTGTGAAGCTCAGGCTAACTCCTGGGTGATAAAACGTTTGAAGATGTGACTGAAAACTACGGAGAGTGGTTGAATATAATACAGGAAAAATGCATACCATACTGCTTCTCTGCAAAAGCAATTTATATCAATTGAATAATAAATGCATTTCTCGGCACTTCTACATGAAAAAGCTCCACATGATAAAAACTCATATCTTAGGTCTTAGAAATGGCACAGTGATCTTATAAATTACACACATGCCACTCTAGGTATACCTTTCCACACACATTTAAGGAAGTAGTTTTGTATATACCTGGGACCCTCGGCTGCTCAGCTTTGGCTTAATGATAATCCTGGGTCCCTGACACTTAGCAGTGGTCCTTACGGGGTTACTGAGCTTTTAATAATGCAGTAAGCACCCATCTGCAAACTCACCACCCAAAACCACAGCTACCACTGAGATACAATGTGTATCTAACCATGTGGCCCTACCCGCCTTCCCATCCCTCTCCTCTTCCCTATTAGATGTAGCCATTGGTCTGGATCCTGTGTTCATCACTTACTTTCCTTTCCAGTATGATTTTATTGCATTAATTTGTAGTCCTATAAAATATTTTTTAGTCTTATTTGTGTTTAATTTAGAATATTAAGGCTTAACTTTTTGTGCTTGAGGTTTCCGTGACATTACAGTTCAACTGCTTTGACTGCTATGTGAATAGATCATAGTTTATTTTCCACTCTCCCTTTGATGGGCATTTGGGCTGCATCCCAGTTTTGCTATTGCAAACAGTGCAGCTGTGAGCATTCTTATACATGCCCCTGCTTGCACACGTGCGGGGACGGAACTGCTGGAGCACAGGCGAGGTGAGACACTCAACTTCGGGAGGGAAGAGCAATGTTCATACTTGATACAATCATTCCCCACATCTAGATGCAGGTAGGTGGATGGTTCATATTACTCAGACTGATGGTTGCTACATTTAAAGGATGAAAGCAGTATTTTCTATTTGGTATTTTAGTCAGAAAAATTTCAAAGAAAGACAACGCCCTTCTTCCACAAGCCTAACATTATATAAGTAGACACAAACGGGAATGTCTTAGATCTTGCCAAATCTAGAACCAGTCCAACTGATAACCTCAGAAGAACCAAAATCATACCACGGCAATAGAAATTATACCTTCCATGGATAGTTTTATCTAATGTCCAGGGTAAGATTAACTCGTACACGGTACAAAATGCTGAGTTAAGAGTCCGTGTTGTAGACCTTGATGCCCAAATGTGTACCGGACCTCCCCAACCCCTTCCAAATGTGCTGTTGTGGGAATCTAGGTTTTTTTTTTCTTATCTGCAAATAGGAGGACATTTCGTGGTGAATAAGTGTGCCGTGTACTTTCTCTTTAATGGAGAGAGTTGCAGTTACCTTTAACAAGCCTAACGATAGTGTAATTAGCAGCATGTCAATAATCATCAGCAAACACTATTCTCTGAGAGTTCCACTGTGGTTACACCCAATGCTGTCATCCTTTGAACTCTAGTCAGTGTTTTGATTGAACACTTGCTCTTCGTATTCAGAAACTGCTTGACTTAACACCTGGAACAAAATGCATCCCTGTGCATTTTTAAAAACGTGCATTCTCCCTTTTGGTTGGAAAACCATCAGGCTGAAACAAATGGGCTACTGGAGTTATCACATTTCACGAAGACAGCGTTTTGTGGCCTGAAGAGAACAAGAGATGGAAAACGTCTTACCTTCACATAGAGCTGCTGAAATTCCTCGAGGTTCAGCCTCCCGCTTGGACAGTCCTTGAGGAAACCTTTGTACCACTGCTTGAGCTCGTGCTCGTTAAACTCTGTGCTCTTCACCAGGTCCTCCATTACTTCGGGGGCTAGTTTGCTGTTCTGTTTCCCCATTCTGCCTGAAGAAAAGCAAATGAATGCAATTAGCCGTGATCATTTCAAACCTGATTAGGAGCCAAGTCAGAGGTCCGAGAAGCCCGTGGGTGGGCACTCCCTCTAGTGTGTCAAATCCCCCCTAAGTCTGCCTCCTTCTATTTGGCATTCCAGAGAGGAGATGAGCGAAAAAGACCCTTCACACAGCTCGAAAGGCTGTAGGGCTCATCCATCAGGAGTCCTGGTGAACATAGCATCGACTCCCCCATGGCAAAGCAGCCGTCCTTGTTTGTGCTACTCATGTAAAGTATATGGGCACTGTTTATATTCTCCTGTTATGAATTAAAGTGCATCAGCACTTGCTGCCGGGGTATCTGATTCCACATTTAGTTTGTAAGGATATTAAGTGGGATTATTGACACATGCAATGAGAGGGCTTTACAGACAAATGATTACAAGCCGACTTGGGAAATCTGATCAGTAATGGTAGGAAATCTCAGCTGGTTTAGTTCTAACGTTGCAGCTTTTTTTTTTTTTTTATGGAAACAGCTTATCTTTATTAGTCAAATTAATTCTCTTTCTCTTCTCTTCAGAGGTTTCCTACAACGTTGCCATCAATTTTGACAAACTTGGTGGCTTTTTAGAGAGATTGAGTGGTGAATTTCAGTTGACCTAATTCCATTCTGATATTATTATGGGTGGTAGGTAAAAATAACAATACATAAAATAATGTTACCTGCATCCATTATGTGCCAGGTTATTGACTGTTTACCGTGTGTGTTACTTAGGGCAATATTAATTAATTGCTTTATCTTAAATGCCTTCCTTTTTAAAAAAATGATTTTATTTATTTGTTTGAGAGAGAGACAGAGAGAGAGTGAGCGAGAGTGAGCATGAGCAGAGGGAGGGGTAGAGAGAGAGGGAGAAGCAGACTCCCCTGCTGAACAGGGAGCCTGACATGGGGCTGGATCCCAGGACCTTGGGATCATGACCTGAGCTGAAGGCAGATGCTTAACCGACTGAGCCACCCAGGCACTCCTTAAATTTCTTCCTTAATAAAATGTATATAATAACAAAACTCTTTACAGATTTACTGTAAGGACTAATTAAGAAATAAGTAGGTAAACAAAGATAATATTCCAAAATTAAAATAGTTTTTGTATTAGTGCAGAAAAATTAAAGATGATTTTTTAAAGTTTCACTTTAATGTTCTTGTGTTAACAATAAAATAAAAAGTGAAAACTAAACAAATTAACCACAGATTGATTTAAAAAGTCATATCAAGGGGCGCCTGGGTGGTGCAGTCTGTTGTCTGACTCTTGGTTTTGGCTCAGGTTCTAATCTCAGGGTCATGAGATTGAGCCCCCATCAGGCTCCGCACTCAGTGTGGAGTCTGCTTGAGATTCTCTCTCTCTGGCCCTCCCTTCCACCCTCTCTTTCTCTCTCTAAAATATAAATAAATCTTAAAAAAAAAGTCAAATTAAAGGTGAAAATCTGAAGGATCACCAGAATAAGGGAAGTGTCATAAGATATTAAAAATCCTGATACCGGAACTGAATTAGGCTTTGAAAAATTTACCCAAGTGGACGTAGGCCTTCAATGTGCTGGAGACAAATTCTCTCCTCGGCTCTAGGCAGGTCTATACTTGCAATCATCCAGAAGGGGTAATCCCATAACATACTTCGTTGTTTTTAATTTTTTGCCTTCTTCTACAATAGATTCCACACCCATTATCAGTGACCTGCCCTAACATTGAACAATTCTTTCACTGTGATGAAACCTCTCTACTTCCAAGAAAAGCTTTCTCCTCAGCATCATCCCAAGCTAACACAATAAGAACATATCATTAAAATGGCCATTTGTCTTCCAGGCTCTTCTGTTTGAGCAAAGGACCTGAGGATCAGCAACTATGCCCTTTATCATGGAGCATCTCTACTTATTTTTGCTCTTAATTTCAAGCTCCACGTCTCTTATTAGCAACTGTCTCTTAATTATAGATACTGTGGGATCCCACAGCTGGATATGGAAATCAAGTTGGGTACTCAGGTGTGTCAAGTTTAATTAATCTGGGTGAGAAAACTGTAATCCATGGTTATCCTGCTAATCAAAAGATGTATTACCAAATTTTCAGGATTTCACTTTGTTGTTTAGAGAATTACAAGTTTTCATTATTGAACCCGAATCTCACCTAACAATAACAGCTGCTGAATGCTGAGTGTTGGCTGTGAGATAAGCACTGTGTTGAGAACTTCACACACCCCACCTTTAACCCTGTGCCAGCTCAGCAGTAAGGATTAGGGCAGCTCTCTTGTACAAGACCGTACAAGTAATGTGTAGCAGGGCCAGAATGTGAACCTGGATTAGCAAGGCTCCAGTGCATAATCCCAGACAGGTGGATGGAAGGCATCTCAGAAGGAACAGGAGGAGCAAAAGCAGGAAGGTCTGTGAGGCTGAATCAGTGCCTTTCGGCACTGAAAGAATAGATGAGAGAGGGGGTCGGTCACTCCGCCAGGCCCTATTTTGGAAAAGACTGTTGGAGTTTACCAAAACCACAAGCCAGAATGAGTTTGTATTAACATTGGGAAAGTGGATTAAGTGTTATAAAAAAAAACTGCCTCTCCCAAATGCCTTTAGGTCAACAGCACGGGGGCGCCTGGGTGGCGCCGTCAGCTGAGCCTCCGACTCTTGGTTTTGGCTCAGGTCCTGATCCCAGGGTTGCGAGATCAAGCCCTGCAACAGGCTCTGCGCTCAGGGCGGAGTCTGCTTAATGATTCTCTCCTCCTCCCTCTGACCCACTCCTGCACACTCTCTAAAATAAATAAATCTTAAAAAAAAAAAAATCAATAACATGTCAGCTTCTCTCTTAAGCAAGGAAGCGTGGATTCTCCAGGGATCATGTATGGTGCCTGAAACTGTTCCTGCTGACTGACTGGGGAGAAGGTGGTCTCACAGAGGAAACACTGTCAGGACGATGAATCAGTTTTGGAGACTCACATGTCTAACTTCATGCTTCTTGGTTACCGGTCATGGTCAGCAACTATCAGTCAGGTGTGCCTGGCAGTAGATGAATCACGTGGAAAATCAAGTTCTGGCCTGGCTCAACATGGCCCTGCCGCTGCTTTCGACCAGCCCTGTTTGGACTGATGACCCTTCCTGCACTCCCTGACCCCAGCCCACCTTCTGTATGGCTGCTTGAATGAATTTTTTAAAATACAAACCTTGCCATCTGAGCCTCTCCCTAAAACTGTCAACACTTCTCACATTGTCTACAGGATGTAGCCTCACCTCCTTAGCCTGGCACCTGTACTGCCTACTCACACCCTCATTTTCTCCCCATCTGTCTTTTCGTTTGTTCAGCAGGCTTCTTCTCTTTCTTTAAGTAGCCTCAGCTCACATGCCACCCCGTCTGTGAAACCTTTGTGGACTTTCCAAGGCTGACTTAGGCATCCTTTCTCCTAGGCATCTCCATTCCCTGCTAAAAGCTTCCCTGGTCATTATTTCTCTACTAGATTGTTAGCTTCTTGAGGGAGAGGACTGTCTTTTATTTAACTTTGCATCCCTGCTACCTCATCCTAGGCGCTCGATGAATAATTTTTGAGGAAACGAATGAATGAGGGGCACTGAACCACTGTGAAGTAGGGACTCAAGAACCTCAGCACTGGTCTTCATCAAGTTGTGGTATTTGCTATGTTTCCTTCTGGGAGAATCAGTCTCATAGTAATCTATCTATGAAAAGAGTCAATGCCGTCAGACGTATAAATATAACGTGCAGGCGACAGATGGGAAGAATGCTTCATTTAGCTGTATGGAAAATCACCTGCCCACCCAGAGACTGTTTTTTTGTTGTTGTCTTCATCACTAGATTTTGAACACCTTGAAGCTAGGGCTCATGTCTTTTGTCTCAGTATCCTCAGGACTTGGCATAAAGGTGGTGCTTAGTAATGTCTGATGCATGAAGGAAAGCACTGATGGGTTAACACTCCCCACCGCTGCCCCCTTTGTCTTGGAGCTGCACTGATACAGGCCTGTAGTGTCTCTCATTATGGGACCAGGACCACAGAAAGGGTAAACATGACCATAAAGCTTATCCCATTCCCAATAAAAAGATTTCATGACACACATAAAATAAAATTAAAGAGTCCGTGTGTGTATGTGTGGAGGGGGGCGGGTAATTCCAGTTCTGTTTCTAGTTCATTCTGTGATCTTGGGCCAGATCCTTTCCTCTTCTGTTGCTCAGTTTCCCCATTTGAAAAACAAGTGAGTTGGACCAGATGACCTTTAAGGCCCTTCCAAACCCACCGTTCACTGATCAGCAGCAGAAGTTCTGTAAACATGAAAAGATGAGTCACAGTCTTCAAATCAGCTTGTCTCGAAAGAGTCCACACATGTTGGCTCTGTGGATTCTTTACCTGGGTACCCGTCGGTACTTGAACATATGTTGCCTAAGAAGGGAGGGGACAGACACTGGAGTGTATTATTTTAAAGCTAGCATTCCAGGTTATAAGATAAAAACCAGCCAAGCCCCAAATCAAATAATTTCTCACGGTTTGAGTGGCATTAGAGAGAGACTCAGGGTTAGGCACAGAACAAGACTGGTGGGGGAGATTTGGTGGGCCAAAGACTACCACGAGAAATGGGCCCATGGGTGAGGAAAGCCCAGCACCAACTTGCAAAGGATACCCAGAAAAGACCACATGTTTATACTCCACAGTATACAAAAGGCTCCATGCGACAACAGTTACCCATGTAACAGTCCAGTAGGAAAGAGATTATTATCATCCCTCCTTTACTGATGAGGGCTTTGAAGTTCAGAGGGAATGAGTACTCTGCCTTAGCTCAACCAGCTAAGAAAGCTTAGTACAGAATAAAAGTCGTTCTCCAGAAGCCCACTGGTTTCCTGACACAGGCCACCATCTTCTCTTGCCTGGATTCTGCAACCACTCTCTCACTGGCTTGCCTGCCTTGAGTTTTGCCCACCTCTCTTCCACTTCCTATCCGGTCTTGATAGCAGAACGGCAGAGCAGAG